GAATTGCTTCCTAAAAGCAACAGAAGGTATGTAAGGCCTACATGGAAAAAGCAGGTGAATACCACAAGAATTCAAACCTGCTGATGTTTTTCCCAGTGATACCGATGACTTGGTTAGACACATGGCCCTAACTTGAGGTCTCTGAATCACACTCAGAGATAAACAGTGTTAGTGCTTATTATGTGCCGGACCCTGCACTAACTTTGCAATATTGAGGTATATTTGCCTCTGTGAGAGGTTGCGGTTCCTTGTCTCCTTTTCCTGTGAGGAAATGAAGACGGAAAACAGATTGAAGATCCCTGGGTAAACAGGCTATTTCAGCAAAACCATGAGCCAGGCTTTGTAGAGAGGGTTTTGTGTGTGTGCATGATCTTGTTTATTTTCCAGTAAGTATGTGGAATCTCCCCAACTAACATGAAGAAATAGAGATTGGTTTAAAGACCCTCCCAGGGTCCCACAGTTTATGAGTAACTAACCATGTGCCTTCTTGCTTCATATATTTGGTGAGGGAGCATTAAAAAAAATCTGTCAGGCTTTCCTTGGAGCCACTGACCAAACAATGCAACTCAAATATGACACCAAACATCTCATCATATCACTTCTTCCTCCAGCGCTGCCCTCCTACTGCCAGCTAGTCATGCCCATTCCCCAAAGCACAGTTTAATATTTCTCATTAAGTTAAGCTTTTTCTGCTACCTGATTGTTATATCTCAAATATTTTTAAAACTAAGGCACAAAAGAAAGTCTAAAACTGTGCAAACTGCTCTACTTAGATTATCCTCTATTCATTTGCTCTAGGGAGCTAATAGTAACCCATCTGTGACATAGAATTATTATAATAGGATTATTATTACACAGCCTGGAACATAGGAAGTGCTCAATAAATTATTAATTCAATAGCTAACAATGGTAGTAACTATTATTAAATTAATGCCTGTGCTTCAGAAAAATATGAATATAAGCTGTCAGTTTTCTAAATATTTTTCTTGTGTATTGCTAGGAAAGTTATTCAGAGATAAGAGAGGCAGTATGGTAGAGCAGAAATTGTGGCATGAGAATGCCTGGATTCCAACCCTGGATCCCTCTGGACCTGCTCTTTTAGCTGGGTGTAATAATGATCATATTTTGCGTAATTGTTAGCAGGATGGTCTATGATAAGGTCAACTGGCCAGCTCTGGTCCAGTACACAGTAGCATTCAAGAGTCGTCACTCTCTCTTCCTAAGCATTGACCTGCCTATGACACCATGTGATGGGCAGCATAAATCTGCCCTCTTCACTTTGAGGTTTATCCAGTGGTGGATAAAATTATGACCTTGACTAAGACTAGAGTGAGCACACTAATGGCAGAAGCTTGGGCCTAAGAAACATTTAACTCTTAGGAAGGGGTAATGATTGATAATTAATTAATCAGTTGCTTCAGTTGTCAGTACTATACTCTACCAGATTTCCAGTAACTTGAAATTTGCAGATAACTGCAATCAGACTTTTATTAACTCTGCTTAATCAAACTGATTTGGGCTCAGGTTGATGCTTTGAGAAAAGTGTAGAGAATGCTTTACACTTTGATCTCCTTGGGTTCTGATTAGTGGCATGAAACTACCTCTGTCAAATGACAAGTCTTTGGAGGAGTTTAAAACACCTGAAGACAAAGCCCAGAATTGTATAAGCTTCTCCTTCAAAACAGAAACAGAATTTCCTTAAGTATTGGAAGATCTTACCAATTCACTTGAATCGAGTTTGTATTGATCTAAAGTTAATACAATGTGACAATTCAACAGAGGGAGATCATTGAGCCATCTGTCACCAATAACTAAGTGACCAACCACAAGGAAGTGGTGCAAGTTGTCACTCGTGGTCCAGGACTGTGGGAAAACTCCTCTGTTGGTTTACAGAAGTCATCTCAGAGGCTGTGGGGACAGCAGATGGCCAGAGAGAGCCACCAGCTCAAGGCACGTGGTACAGCCAGTGATCAAGATCTGCTCTGCAAGAAAAAGCATGGAGAATTCTGCTTTCATGTCTCTCTACCCTCTCCCCAGTGAACAGAAAATGCCCAGGGCCTGAGGACGGGGAGGCCAGCCAAAGTTCCCATACCCTCTCCACTTTGGTCTCAGAACTCAATACCTCCTTCTCTGCTCTTTAAAATAAAGACTGGGTTTCCCAGTGCAATATGTTATCTGATGTTCTGTGAACTTTGAATACTACCAAAATGTAGCAAATAAAAATTTAGCTTAATTTGATGCCTCTCCTATGTCCAAGATAACCTAAAGTTAATGATTTAAATATACTTCCAGAGTTTGTCTTCATTATTTCTGTATATATTTATGCATATATAACTGATAGAATATAAATATAAATTTGCTGTTGTGAAAATGTCATTTAAAAATATATATTGTTCTTAATATGCTTTTCTATGTAATATTATAGATGTTCAATAAATATTTATTGTACGAATGAGCCATAATTTATAATTCAGTTGCTCATTAGAGGACTTTGGGGCTGCTCCGAAATAGCTGTTTAACAAACATGATTATATATAAAAGGTATGATTGAAATACATATATATAACATATGCAGAAATTTAGACATAATCGCATATAATAAATAAATATATACCATATATATATGTAACTACATTAGTAAACATACATGCAGTACAGGGTGGTCAGGGCACTCCTGATGTATTTCATGCACATCCCTGCAATATATATTAATAGATTAGCCTCGAAAGAAATATTCAGACAAGCATTTGGGGACCTTTGGTAATGAAGCATGGCCCTCCTGCCTTTGTTATGTTATGGTATTACACACTGTCTTTAAGTCCTCGGCAAAGCAGATCCATTTAAATGTGACCCAGAATTCACAGTACTAACAAAGAGCAACCATCAATTTTAGAAAGAAAAGAAACTGCTTCAAATTCTTTTTAGAACAAGGAGGAAAGAATAATTGGACTTAGTGGGCAATGGGCAGAAGTGGAAAAAAAGGAAAAAGAAATAGAAAAATGCTTTCTCCTGCTGGTGATTTGGACCTTTCTTATCTGATTCTATAGGGTAGTAATTGTAGGTCATTTAAAGGACATAACATTATTACAGAGTCACCTTCCTTCCTTCTTCCTGGAGCTAAGCATATAATGTCACTTCTTGGTTAGTCAAGGAAGTCTCACACCTGTGAATGTCCTCCTGTCCCTATACACTGTCTGTTGGGTTTGCTGAAGTCCACCAAATGGTACCCACAGCTTATAAGGGACGGCAGTGGAGTGGAACCACTGTAGATTGCAAGAGATGACCCCAGACAACCAGGGGCATCAGTTCATTCTCACCTGGGCCTGGGGACAGTAACACCAGTCCCCTCCTGAGACACTGACTGTCAAGGTGGCTGTATCAGGGACAAAAAAAAAAAAAAAAAAAAAAAAAAGAAAAAAAAAAAAAAAAAAAAAAAACAGCTCTGTTGTCCTCATAGTGCTAGGGGGAAAAGGAAAGAGGCTTTGTGATTTTCTTTACCAAACAAAAACAAAAACTTAAATGTGATCTTTAGCCACACAAATGCAGACTCAGGCCTGGTAGTCTGAAGGGAATTAGGCCAGCAACTGAGTGTGTAAAGCGAAAAGCGGGTAGAAACCCAGACAATGCACTGGAGACTGGGGTTGGCTTGGAGGGTTAGCGGATATGATAGCGAGGAAGGAGTTTCAGTGTGAATGAATACTAATTAGTGACATGGATATTAATGATGACAGTAATTAACAGGGGAAAGGAAGGGCTGTCATTGTCCCAGGGTGAGTAATCAATCTTGGCAGGTGATAAATAATGGTTGGGCAAGCTCAGCAGAAAGATAATCCGCTGGCCCTGGGGAGAACTGGAAAGATGCTGGAAACCTCGCAGTCTCTAGGCAACCCACAAAAAAGAACTATTTTTCTTTTGAGGGAAAAACAAGTTAAAGTCTCTCCCGCACCCCAACTTGGGATTACAGTTCTTATTTGATTCCTGTTTTGTTCTTCATTTCCTAGGACAAATGTTGAACTTGTATAATTGGAGGAAATGAACACACAAAATCTCTCTCTCTCTCTCTCTCTCTCTCTCTCTCTCTCACATGAATGTGGGAGTTTTTGATCCAAGGTTTAGCTCACAGAGTGCAGAGGACACTAAGGCCCTGTCTGAGAAGACTGGAGCTACTGGGAGCCCAGGAAGAATGGGCTGGGGCAGAGGCAGCCATACTGTGTTGGGTTACAGTCCATAGAGCCAGATAGAAACAAAATGTCTAGGTTATTCAGCCTGAACTGGTCTTACTGGCCACCAAAGTTCTGAGAAATTTGATATCTGAGAAGACAGCACTGTTCTCTAAATACCTCTGCTGGATCTTCCCTGGGCTCCTGTCAGTGCAACTCAGGGGAGTGACTAGCAGACCCTTCCCCTCACATTGAAACCTCAGACTCACAGTAGGGCTCAGATACCTGAAAATGTCACTCCCTTCAGGCTGCTCTGCATCAAATATTCTGCCTGGGGTGACAAAGCCACCTCCAGGGGTCTACACTGGTGTGAAATTAGATATTTGGGTGATAAAAGCAGACTGACTAGACGTTCAGAACCTTCCAGAAAATCGTACTCTTCCACTCCCATGTAAACTGTGCTGTTATTAGAACATGGGTTCTAGGTGCCATGTTTTCAAAGGGAGGCAAACAAAAGGGAGCATGTACAGAGGACTGTGACCAAAATAGTGATGAGCTTCAGGCCACGTCACATGAGGGAACACCAAAGGGTGTCCAGGCACATCTCATCAGGAGCGAGGACACTGATGATTTGTGGAAGAATTGGCCTCACAAAGGGATTATGTCTGTGCTTGGACTTGCTCTTCTGTTATTCAAGGGCAAAACTAAGGCCAAGGGAAAAAGGAAGAGAGCGGTAGTATGCTGACTAAAATTAAGATTTTCTAAGGTAAAAATGTTTTTTCTGCCTACAGAGATTAAACATCCACGAGGTCATCAGTTGAAACTGCTTTGTCATTGCAGGTACTGACATTGTACAGTGGCTTATGAAGAACCTTTCAATCGAGGACCCAGGTACTTCAGCTGCCTTTACCTCCCCTTGTTATCAGTACATATCCCAAAACCAACTTCCAAACTGGGTTCTACCGTCCTGAGAGCCCAGCTTACTAACCTGAATTCCAAGTTGTGGAATAGCTCTATTTACAAATAAAATGAATTTGCTTTCTCCACTGAATATCTGTCTTCAAATTTAAACCACCCTTGGAGGAAAAGAGCAACTCTTTAGAATGCCAAAGAACTCAATACAATAGTGCGTGAAATGCGGTGAATTCTCGTTAGCCGCAGCAATTAAAGATAAGTTGTAGCACTGTCACTGACAGCTTTCTAGAGCCAGCTCTTAAAATTGGATTGCCTGATCCACAATTAAGATGTTTAATTATTTGCTAAGACTCCTTCTGTCTTCTGCTTCTGTGAGAAGTGAAGGAATGATGCTTTTTCAACTCGTAATTGCGCATTTCAATTAGGAAAACCCTACCAGAAAAACAACAGCAAAACCCTGGCCAATAAGGCAGTTTCAAAATCTATCCTCCCACCAGAAAATAAGCAAGAAAACTGATTTTACAGTATAAGTAGGAAAAAGGAGGAAGTCTCCAGAAAAATGAAAATTCTAAATACGTATAGCTAATTATTTCATGTGTCATTAGTTAAAACATTTCTAAATTTATCATACATCACTTTGTCTTGTGTAACTGGATATTCTTGATACCTTTGAGTCAATTTATCTTTATAATCTAATGTGGATCCACTCTAATGTGCTTGCTGGCCCCTGGGGCAATTAGATTAATTTGGCCCAAATTTAATGGCTCCAACCACCAGGCTTTCTGAGGATATTTTTAAAGTGACCACCCTAGATGACTGACCTCCAGCTGGGATTCCTTGCTGAGATCAGATGTCAGCTCAGCCATCCTTGTATTTTAAGCTGACATTCTTAACTGCTGTTGACTATGAAACAGTATAATTTACATATAGTTCAATTAAATATAGTTGCCTAGAGTCTCAGTACCAGAAAAGTGGGTCATTTGTGCAAGTAACCCACCACCTTGGTTAGTGGATAGTCAGGCAATGACCAAAATTAAATCTTAATTTTAGTCAAGTTCTTAGTAAATGCTCATCTTTTCTCTATGCGTTTCCCTTATACAGCTGAACTATTTTTTTTATTGGTGCTGGGGAACAGCTGCATTTTTTATTGTCCACTTGTGAAACCCAGACTAGATAACTATCTACCAGTTTAATTACATTTATTTGAGCTCAATGTTTCTATTGGTTATGATAATAAACTAAGGAATAGCTTTCCTCATGGTGGTCTTTTCCAACAATACTGTTTTATTCCCCTTTCCAAAAATCACTGTATCTATCATCTTCACCACCACCACCGCCACCACCACCATCATCATCATCATCATCATCATCATCATCATCATCATCACTGTCTCTGAGAACCCTATCCCAGCTCATAGTTGGTGGGAATTCTCTGGCCTATCTAATCATCAAGTACTAATAAAAATAAAAATTTTTAAAAAAGAAAAGAAACTTCAGTGAAGGGCCTTGAATGAAGGTCATGCCTGTGAAGGCCTATTAAATTCTCATGACCTTGGAAGGACATCAAGACTTCGGGCCCAGCTTGGACTTCTCAGCAGTAGTTGAGCAGGAGGAAGTAAGAGCAATTCCCCAGCAGAGATGAGGCAAATCAAGTCCCTGGGAATCCAGGTGATTTACATCTGCCCATCCCCCACTCTCTATTTCTTTCTGCCAGATTTCTAAATAAAAACATTCTTGTTGAAGAATTTTAGCTCAATTGTTGGTGATATGAAAGTCATCATCTTACTAGATCTTGTCCTTCCACTGAGAAAGGAGCAGCTGAAGATGATGGCAATCTTCTCTTTCTGGGCGCACAGTTTTTGAAGTGTACAATCTGCCCTCTGTATCAGTGGTCTGCATCTGCAGATTCTTCCTAACCTGGATTGAAAACATTCAGGAAAAAACTTCATGTGTCATTCCCTAAACAACATCATATAACAACTATTTACACAGGACTCACATTATATTAGGTCACATTGTATTATAAGTAATCTGTAGATGATTTAACATTTATGGGGGGATTGCATAGGTTATATACAAATACTACACCATTTTATAAAAGGGACTTGAGCATCCACAGATTTTGGTGTCCATGGGGGTTCTGGAAATATTGTTAGTAAGGAACAACTGTACAGAATTTTAAAAGAAATTGGTCATCAAGCAGCAAGTAAAGTAAAAGTCCATTTGTCTTAATTTTATCAGTATAAGTGTACACATACATTTCTTCCAAAAGGGAGAAAATGGTTCCTAATAAACCAAACGTTTGGGTTACATTTAACCTCTTGAGAAGTTTACAAGTAAAGCCTAAGCCAATCACCTTTCACAATTCCAAGCCTATAAAATTAGTAATTGTTATAGACTCCTTAAGCATATCAATTCCATGTCCAAAAATTTATTTTAACTAGTAAAAGTACTATGAGATTTCTTAAAGATTCTTGTGTGTGGTAGGAGCATTTTTTCTCATATTAGCTGCTTTCAAGATAAATATAAATTCTTAACTATTATTGTGAATCTATCTGCAGCTGATGTTAAGATAACAAAACAAGTTTTGTTGCGTCAATAATAAGCATATTCCTCTTACGTTGGCCTCCCTATGTCACTACCTACTCCACTGTCCTTCCTCTAACTTCCTGAAAAAATGAGATTTTACCCTATGTGTATAGGGGAAGGGAGACACCCTTCTGCTCCCCAGTTGGACTTTTGGGGAAGTGCAGAGTGGGTCCAAGTCTGCACAGGCAGTGAGGAGGCTTTGTTCTCCCTGCTGTTGATGATTCAGAATGATGGAACTGAAACTATGAATCAGGGCTGCCAGTGCTTATTGAGTATTTACCCTTCCCCAGACACTGTTAAGCATTTCGTGTGAAATATCTCACTTAATTAAATACAAGTTTATCTATGCCAAAGCTCCTGCTCTTGACCATGAAGCTAGACCTGAATTTCTTCTGGAAGGTCATGGAGCTTGGGAGGTTAAGAATTGGCAGATTCTCTGGGACCCAGAGGAGCCCCAGATGCATGATGGCCTTTCCCAACCCCTGCCACCAGCAGTCTTGCCACCAACACTGTCATTTAGGGATGATAACACTTGATACCTGGCTACGTTTTTGCTCTTATTTAAACTAAATAACCCTCTTTCTGCTTCTTTCTCTCACCCTACAGTTGAAGCAATACACTTGGGAAGCCTTATAGCTGCCCAGGGCTACATCTTTCCAATCTCAGACCATGTGCTCACCATGAAGGATGATGGTACCTTCTATCGTTTCCAGGTAGGCCTGCTGGCTCCTCCTCCTAAAGAACCTTTGCTGCTGATCATCCTCTGGTCTCAGATTAGAATCCCTAGAAAAGTAAAGGGTATTGTAGGGATGTAGGGATCAACCTTCTACCTTCACCAGCACTGGGAAAGCCAACAGAACTTGTGTCTGGAACTTTGCTTGACCCACTTGAACAACAGTAAAAGGCCCTAATTGAGAGGCCATAATTTGAAGAGCACCCTTTGGGGCTGCTGTAACAGAATGCTGTAAACTAGGCAGCTTATAAACACCAGAATTTATTTCTTACAGTTCTGGAGGCTGGGGAGTCCAAGATCAAGACATCAGCGGGTTTAGTGTCTTTTGTCTTCTCTGTCTCATAGATGGCGCTTTTATCCATGCTCCACACCAGAATGGGGCAGAGTCTCTTTCAGGCCTCTTCTATAATGGTAGTAATCTCATTCATGAGGACTCTACTCTCATGACCTAATCACTTACCAAGGGGACAGTGTTGGGATTCTGCCATGTGCATTTGGTGAAATGTTTGGCAGACATAGCAGACATTTTGTGCATGTGTCTTTGTTTATTGTGAAGAAACTTCTAAAAGTTTCTTCTTACCGCTAAAGAGCTAAGTGTCACCCATTTTACAGATGGGAAAGCTGAGGTGTTCAAAGAGTAATGTGGCATTTAGTAAATGAAGGAAGCCTCGATCTAAGGCTACAGGGCCTGATTGCACCATCATTCACCTGTTCTACCTCACGCTGCCTTCCTGGTAAAGATTCACATACTACCTAACCACCCTCCCTGCCTATGCTGCACTCCTCGCAGGTTCTGCCCTGCCTGGAGGGCTTGGAAAAGGGGGTAAGTTGTACCAAAGGTTTAAGGAGTGAGTTAGACTTCTCTTCTTTCAGGAAAAGAAGTTTTGTCCTATAAACTAAATCTCTGTCTCTCTCTCTCTCTCTCTGACATTAAACCCAGGGCCTTTACATTGAGTTACACACTCAGCCTTTCAACATTTTTTAGTTTACATTTATTTTGCTTACTTTACATTTCACTTCTTAACACAGATTAAAGTGTTGACTGGCCTCAGCTAGGTTATTAAAAAAAAAAAAACAAGAAAGGCAGAATGTAGTGGCACGTACTTATGATCCCAGCTAGGAGGCTGAGGCAGGAAGGTGGCAAATTTGAGCCCAGCCTGGGCAACTCAGCAAGACCCTGTCTCAAAATACAAAAGTGCTGGAGGTGTATCGGACAGGTAGAGCACTTCTCTAACATTGGCAAGGCCCTGGGTTTCAGCCCTAATACCACACACAAAACAAAACCAGGGAAGAGTTGATACCATATCAGGCAGAAAGAGATGGGAGAGGGCCTGTCATAAGGGAGGGGTCCTCTCTAAATTGGGGAGATGGGTGTGCGTACCTCCGCACCCTGATAACCACACACTCTTTTGCAGGCTCCTTACTTCTGGCCTTCGAACTGTTGGGAACCTGAAAACACTGACTATGGTGAGAACTGGAGACACGGGCCACGCTACACACCGTTCCCCGGAGTGCAGAAGACAAATGCTTGGTGTCCAGTGACCGGGGTGCATGGGGAGGAGAGGTCTTTAGCTGCCCTGTCTGACACTGTGGATATTTAATAAACTCTCTGTCCCACATAAGGAAGGGAGGCAGAGCATACAGAGAGATGCAGTTTTGAAAGAAAAAGGGCAAAGGCAAGAAAGATTTTATCAAGGATGATCCATGTGTTCATTCGCGGGACCATGGATAAGAAGGTCCCACGGCAACACTAAGGAATAGAGACTTTTGGTTGCTCCTTCCTGGGATAGGGTTTCAGGGAAGGCTGGATTAAGGATTCACCTTCCCCTGGCCTTTCTAGTCTCACACATTTATTAAAACTCGCTAAGAACTCATTGGTGATTTTGATGGTTGGAAGTTATTAGGAAAGGGAGACAGACCAGACAGGGATATACAGGTGTCCCATTGGACCAAAAAAAAATTTAAAAAGGAAGAAGATGGGATCTGGATAAGCAAGGAGTTATATCTATCCAGGCCAGGGACCCGCTGGCCCTTTGCCGTGTACTCTCAGTACAGACTTTGGTATTTCTCTGTGCCGGTCCTCAGAAGAAATTCTACTATCCCTGTGCTTAAGATAAAGAATCTCAGGCCCAGAAAGGCCACACCCCAGCATGATCACATTTGTCTGAAGTCCCAGTTGACTGTAAACACCATGAGAACTGGTCCAGCTGGTGCATTCTCGTATCCTCCAGGACATGGCACATGCCTGAAACATAGTCAGTGCTGGGAAAATACTTCCTTAGGGTTCTAGTTTGTTTTTTGGTTTTTTTCAGCTTTAATTGAGTTTATTGGTACATTTTAGGGATACAGTACAGTTACATTCATTTTGGGGATCTTGTACCTCTACATGACAAGTCTTGATTCTCATTTAGGGTTCTAGTTCTTAATTGAAGGTGATCCACAGACACTCCCTGGAAGCAGTAGAATTTGAACTCAGATCTGAGTGATTCCAACACCAGTGCACTCCCATTGTTCTGTGCATGATGTGTAGCAGCACCTACACCTTTGCATGGCATCCTGGTGGCTGCTGTGGCAGTCCAGCCCATGGCCTTCCTTGGGACTGGCCACTTGGGGAGCCTGAGGATTCTCTCTAGGTTTTTTGCAGGTTTGTTTGCAAGAGGGAGGCTGGCACAGTCACCATGAGAGGGAGCGGGCTGTGTGGCTGGGTGGCGCTTAGGGGAGGCCATCCTGGAGACCTGTGGGAAAAGCCACCAGCTCTGAAGCAGGCATTGCTAGAGGAGAGCAGCCACTGGGAGCAGTCCTGAGGTGTAAGGCAAACAGATTGCTGCACTGTGAGACTCTGGGCCGGCACTCACATATGAGACAGGACCCCTGGGCAGTCTGCACCACTTTGGGCTCTCAGAAACCACCACACTGCCAAGGATGTTGTGAGTGAGTTCAACAAGCATCTGGTTCAGAGCAGGAGCTGTTTTTGGCCGCCCATAAAACAAGCAGATTTAAAGGCTGGGATAGGCTCACAGTGGCCCAACTGGCAATTGAATAATTACAGCTTGCTTCCATGCAGCAGCAAGTACCCTTGTGAATATGAAATTCAATATTTTCCAGGCCATGGAGAGAATGGGAGGAGGTTGGGCCCAAGATTAAAATATATGTACTCTATCTTTCAAAGGATACAAAAGGGAATTGTTTCCCTTTCTCTGCAGATTTCCTCTATTTTGTAATTTTTGGTGGATAGATGAACAAGGATAGAAATAACTGATGCTGGGCTATATGAAAGCAAAATTATTTTGAATTCTTGGCAAATCAGATGGAGATGTCAAGGTGCATGATGCAAAAGTACTTGCCAGTATTTCCAAAGCAGTTCAGTGAGCAAGTCAGTAAATATTTACCAAGAAAGAACTTAGGATGGCAGATCACAGGAGCAGCCAGCCACCTAGGCTATGTGACCTCAGCAAGTTACCTGTGCTTCGCTTTCTGTTGCTGTGACAAAATACCCAAAAAAGTCTATTTATAAGAGGAAAGATTTATTTCACCTCACAGTTTTAGAGGTTCAGTCCATGGTCTTCTGGCTCCATTATTTCTGAGCTTGTGGTGAGGCAAAACATCATGACAGGGACCACGTGATGGATTAAAGTTGCTTACGCTATGGCAACCAAGAAGTAAAAAGAGAGGGAGGAAGGGGCTAGGAACAAGATATACCCTTCAAGGGCACACCTCCAATGAGCTACTTCCTCTAATTAAGCCCCAACTAAATTTTCCACTACCTCCCCATACCCCATTAAGCTTTGAATTCATAAATGGATTAATCCATTCATGAGGTCACAGCTCTCACGATCCAGTCACCTCCAAGAGGCTTCACCCCTGAACACAAATGAAGTAGGTAGAAACCTTCAACACATGAGCTTTTGGGGCACAGTTAAGATCCAATCCACAACATTGCCTTACCTCTCCATGCCTCAGAAACCTCATTCTAAAAGCCCAGTAAGAATATTACTTGTCTCTTAGTGCTGTTTTGTTAAGATTAAATGAAATGCACATAAGGTTTGGTATGTGGCACATAGTAAGGGGTCAGTACAGTGACAGTGGTTGATACTGTCACTATTATGATGGTGATGGTTGGTATTTTTGTTACTAGGGTGGTGGTTGCTACTAATACTGTAGTGGCAGTGGTTGGTATTGTTATCAGGATGGTGATTGCTATTGCTATTGGTGGGTGATATCGTTACCAAGATGATGGTTGCTATTGCGCTGCGGTGGTGGTTGATGTCATTAGTGCAGTGGTGGTTGGCATTATCGTTACTGGAGTAGGGGTTGTCTTAGTACTGTGGTGGTGGTTGATGTCACTATCGTAGTTATGGTGGTTGGTATTACTGTCACCAGGCGGTGATCGCTATTGCTACTTTTCCACGAGTTGATATTGTCACCACTGTGTTGACAGTGATTAATATTTTGCTACCCAGGGAGATCTGTTCTGAAGACACACGGTACCCTACCTCCATAGTGTGGTGAACATACTCCCCACATGTGACATCACCACAGGAAATGAGCTAGAAGCATGTAGTCCAGACCTCGTGATCATCAGGATTGGCACCAGCTGTGCCTTCCTTGTGCCGTTCTTCCCTTCACAACTTGGCTGAGCCATTTTCCTCAGGTGCATTGGAAATTTCCTGAGATGATTCTTCTGTATAAAACCCACAGTCCCAATCTAGGTGAGCCTTTCATGAGCTTTACATTTGGCCAACAGAAAAACACTGTCCAACCCTCTCAGCTTTGTCTGAGCAGCAGCTGCTTCCTGGAACCTGCTCTGCTTACAGGAAATGAGGCCAGTGCTGGTGAGGTGGGTCACATGCCAATTTTCCTGCTTGACCTTGTGCCCAATTTCATAGGCTGTCTGTAGTCCAGGGGCTCAAGGTGATAACTCTGTAATATGTCAGATACCCCTTTATCAGATGTGATGCAGCTCTAGCTGCGTGGATCGTTGGAAAAGTTGGTAAACAGAAAAAAATCATTAAAAATTAAATGCACACGCCTTTTGTGCTTCGTATGAGCGTAAAACATGCAAAGGAACATTCACATGACAGAATTTGAGGTACGACCAAGAACTTCTGTTTGACCATAGATCCCAAGAATTTTTAAGTTTCTTTCTTAAACAAACCATGTTCATAATAAAGTATCCCGCTTGAGTATTATTAAAGCACCACAATAATTTAAAGACACTTTCAAAGCCACCTGAATGTTGGTCTTTCCTAGATTTTTGTGAGTTTTGCCAGCTATCTCACCTGTACCAAATTCATCAACACCACCTTAGCCAACTCTCCTTTATCAATTAAGTTGTTCCAAGCTATTCAGTTGAGCCTTCCTAGAAACAACTCTTTATCACATTCATTTCATTGGTAAGAGGCTCCTCAACTTACGGTGGGATTGTGTCCAGATAAGCAGTTGAAACTGTTGTAAGTTTAAAATGCATTAAACACATCTAACCTACCAAACATCCTAACTTAGCAACACAGCACACTGAAGAGTATAGGTGGCTGCCTGTTGCGATCATGTGGCTGATTGAGAGCTATGACTCACTGTGGCAAACCAGCTTCAAAAGAGTCATACTCCACATTGCTAGCCCAGAAGAGACAGATCAAAATTTGAAATTCAAAGTATAGTTTTTACTAAATGCGTATGGCTTTCACATCATTAAGTCCAACCAAAGGTCTGAGACGATATGCATGTGTAATAATTAATGAACTTGCATTATTGAAATAGCAAGTGTACCTAACATAAGCAGATTTAGGAACAACCACCACAGACCCTTATCAGCACATAGTCAGACTGCAGAAAGCAGAAGTCTGGGCATAGTGGAGAGCAGGCTGATAGCTGAAAGTTTCTACAGGATCACACACTGCTATCCATACATTATTCAGAGCAAATTAAGGAAGCTAGCTAATCCAGCAAGGAACTGACTAAAGCTCTCTTAGTATGGTGAAGCTGTCAAACAACCAGATAATTACAGGTCCTCTGTGACCTTCTCTCTCATGTGTTCAATTGCTCCTTCATATCATTCATTTACTGCTTGTCCTGGGATGATTCCACTTGGCACTGGAGAAGGAGGAAAACTCAGAGGAAGCAGAGATAGGGAGAGAAGGTGACAAAGGCATGCTTTGGCAACTGAGGGTCTACTGCCTCAGCCTGAGTTGCGTGCCCTAAATTGCCTTCTTTCTGCACTGTTATTTCCTTCCACCTGGCATGACAAGCCCAGGTGCTAAGGCTAAGATTAAAGCTGAAACAGTCTCGGTCCATAAAGAGCCTTCAACTTAGAACAGGAAAGAGTCTAGTAAGCATGAAAATTCAGGCGATGGCATTAAGTTGTATGGTTGAGGAAAGATGAATGCTATCTGGAACATTGAACTGGGCCTTCAGAGACTAGTAGGAGGTCACCAGAAAAAACATAACAAGCTATAGTGTCCTCCTGAGGATCTCAATATTCCTCTGAAGCCACTGAGGAACCAGTGCAGGGCTTTTAGGCAGGGGTATCATGATCATATTTGTGAAAGATCACTCTGAATGGAGAATGTTTGGGGTATAACAGAGTGAAGAGGAAAAAATTTTCAAGATTTACAGATGGGGTCCTCAACTGATCACAACGTACAGAATGATTCCTAGTGGTCAGATGTCATGATTTCCACTTAGAAAATATATTCTTCACAAGACAGAGCTGGGAACATGGTAAGGGTTGGCTAGATAAATGGGTGGACAGGCGGATGCATGCATGGATGGGGTTATGATTCCACTGTGTCGCTGGTTTTATATGTGTTAAAATTTCTCCTCTTTCCCTCAGCCATCTATCTCTGTAAGAGGACAATGCAAAATAAAGCAAGACTGGAGTTGGCAGATTATGAAGCAGTAAGTATGATTGTTTTTCAGGCGTGTTGTGGGGAAGAGTAGTGTCATCTCTGAAGTTCAGTTTAAGCTTGTACCTTTCCTTTCTCCCCCTCTAGTCCCCTTCAGACAGTAGAAGGGGGTCTCTTCTATCTCCCCTGCTTTGATCTCAGTCCCTTTGACTATCACAGTGAAATTGTATCATATATCTCAAAACTCAATAATACAGAAACTCAATGTTACTGCAAATGTGCCCTGAAAAACTAAAAAAGAATAAAAACTGCCTACTTAAAACATTTCAATCAAAGAAAACAAAAACATGACATTCACATGGAAAGGTGTTCAACGCTACTAGCCGTTTAGGAAATGCAGATCAAATGCATGGTGAGCTTTTACTACATCGTAAGAATGGCTAGAATAAAAAGTACCGATCATACCAAGAGTTGGTGAGCATGTGGAACAACTTTAATTCTCCTACATTGCTGGTGGGAGGGAAAAATAGCACTGCCATTCTGGAAAATGGTTTGACAGCTTCTTATAAAGTTCAACATGCACTTACCATATAACCAAGTTATCCCACTCCTACATACATATCCTAGAGAGATCAAAACTTACATTTAGACAAAAAGCTATACACACATGTCCATAGCAGCCTCATATATCATAACCAAAGACTGAAAACAACCCAAATACACTTTAACATACAAATGGCTAAACTAAGTAAGGTACCCCCATAGGATGGAATACTATTCTGAGCAAAAAGGAATGAACCATTGATATAAGCAATCGCTTGGATGATTATCTGAAACATTATATGTTGAATGAAAGAAGCTAATCTCAAGCCAGTCATTCCATGTATGACATTCTTATGAAGATAAAACTATCACAAGGGAAAACAGATCAATAGCTGTGGTTGTGGGTGGGGTAGTATGTGACTATAAAGGGATAGCACAAGGGATTTGGGGAAGGTAATGGAACCATTCTGTATCCTGACTGTTGTGATGGTTATACAAACCTACCCATGTGTTATAATTCACAAACCTGTCCCAAAAGGAAAAGATAAATTTGTGATATAATTTTTAGAATGAAAATTGCATCTTTATACAAGGTGTGATGGAAAGATATCGAAAATGTTTAAATTTTTTTTAATTATTACAATAAAAACACCTTACTTTAGCCTCCCTCAAAATGCTACCCTTCACTTCAAACACACTTATCTCATTATTTTGCCACTTTTTGAAGCAGTTCTGAAAGTCCCTTCTCCTGAGTGTCTTTAGTTTTCTGCCTTAATGTCCCGAATCAACTCAGAATATTATCGTTTCATGATCATTTTAATTTGGGGGAAGATCCAGAAGTCACACAGCACCAGAGGTGGTGAATAAAATGGATGAGGACACACTGTAATATTTTTTATGAGCCTGCCTTTCTGCATCTTGGCGACGGGATTCACTGTATTTTTTAAATCATACCTCATAAAGATACTCACAAAAGAAGACTTCCAGAACTGCTTCAGACATTGACAAGCATGATGAGATACGTGTGCCCAAGATAAGAGGGAATTTGAGGGGCACTCATGGTAATGTGTCTTTTAATGTACTAAATTTTTTAACTTAAACATTCATGGTATATTTTGGTCACCCCTTACGCCCACTGCTACATGTTTGGCAGCAGACGTAGAATGTGTGGACAAAATTCAATTGAGAAAATAAGACAAGATGTCACAAGAGGTATCTCCTTTCCCTCTGTCCTCACTTTCCTCTTCCATCTTCCTTTCTAAGATGTGATGATTCCTTGCAATAACGAGAGGTCCCACTGTCACTCTCATATCCATTTTCATTTGAAACAAAAACACAGAGAAGTTGAAAATTCACAGATAATTTAAAATATATTCTTAACTTTTTGCCGACAGAAACTCGTCGAATGAAATTTGATGTGAATCATAGAGAACCAGGAAAACTGTCTGAACTTTCATGTGCCTTCTACTGCCCTTCCCCATACGCCTTCTAGTGGAGGTGTTCCTGAGCCATGAAATGATTGAAGAGCCAGCAGCTGGGGGAAGAGGTAGCAGACAATTCACATCAGGGGTGATAGAGAACTCACCCTTGGGGAAACCCAACGTTAACAGCATCTTCAAACCCACCCACCTTCCAAATGCTCCTCCCACATTTGCCACCTCAGCTTTCCAAAAGAAGCACAACTCCACACACACGCAGGTCCTGCCTTTCTTGGGTCCGTGTGCTCAAACCTACTAAGCCAACTAGCCCATCAGTCCCTCTCCATTGCCAAAGGCAAATGCATGTGCCAGTGGAGAGCAGGCCCTGGGCATGGCTCCCCACTGATTTGGATCCTGCTGGTACCACAGACTTGTGACTATGAGGAAACAATAGAGAAAGATGCAATGCAGGAGACTGTCCGGAGCCTCAGAACCTGGCTAAAGTCTGCACATCAGATCATATGGGAGAACATTATGTGATCTTCTCAAGCAAACATGGTCTGATGGTTTTATGACTCTGAGCACCCTGGGAGCTTGGTCCTGCCCTTCTGCCCAGATGCTCCAGCAGCCACATCACCCTTCTTTCCACAGACTGCTATCTCTTTTTGTTGCCCAGGGCAAAGAGCTTATGCATGACTACATCACATCCCTAACACAAACTTCAGAAAAGACCCAGAATGCTACGGCCCTTGTGTTTGCTGTGTTTCTCTTCCCATATTTTTCATGTTTTACCAAAGGTCCTATATGGAAATAAGACAACATCAACTCCTGAAACATTTCATGCTGTTTTTTTCTTCTCATTCTGTTCTGGTATTTGTAAAAAATGTGTCATTAAGATTTTTTTTGAGATTGAAATTCCTCAAACAAATGCTTAGAAACTGAAAAGGCATTTTGTTTCTAAAATGTTTTAAATTAAAAGTAATTTTTACTAAAGTTTTCTGGTTACATATTCTCTTGGTAGAAAACAAAAATTCAAACCACCAAGAAAAAAGAGGAGATAACCTGTGATCCTCCCCTTAGGCTTTTTCCATATATACATTTTTCTTTATAGAAGAATAAGATCATATCAGAAACATTACTGCGTCTGCTGCATCTTCCCTTCATCATACACTGTAGTATCTAGGGAATCTTTCCATTTCAACAATACTTTATCATTTTTAATGGCTGCCTAGTATTCTGCGGTGTGACTAGCATAGTTCATAGGACTACTCCCCCAGGTGATTGACATTAGCCATTAGCAACCTGGCTCCCTAGGAACAGTGGAAGAGTTAGAGGGACAGTTTCTGAAAAGTACCTGCACGCCAAGCTTTGGGAATAGCTGTGAGTTCACGTGTGATGCTCTTCCATTGAAGCTCGTTTTATATTAATAATCCACTAATGAGGGTAATCAATTAGTGTTGGCATGCGCTCTATGAAAATACACAGCGTAATGTAGGCTCTCACCTCGCATTCATCAGAATTAGAAGGATCATTATGGGGCTGTCAAACTCCCCTCCTCACTGTCCTAATGTTCCATTAGGTAAGTCTTCCAACTTAGAGAAAATACTCCCCTTTCCCTCTAAACATAATCCTAGTTACTTTTCTTTCTTTCTGTTTTTTGGTGGCTTCTCTCCCTCTCTCCCTCCCTCCCTCTCTCCCTCCCTCCCTTTCTTTTTCATTCTTTTTCTTTCTGTCTTTCTCTTTCCTTCCTTTCTTTCTTCCTTCCTTCCTTTCTCTCTTGTTCCTTAGTTTGGTTTTGAGACAGGATCTTGCCATGTAGCCCAGGCTGGCCTCAAACTCCCAGCAATCCACCTGCCTTAGCCTCCTGAGTGTTGGGATTACAGGTGTGCACTAACCATGTCCAGCTTGGGTTTCCTTGCATGATGTCATAACACAGACTCTCCCTTTGGTCCTTTTGAGTCTTGACTTTAAAAAGCACAGTGGTTCCAAGTCCTCTTGGTTCTCCTTCCCTTTGACCTTCGCAGGTGCCTGATGGAACACACATCCTGGAGAGATCCAACTTTAGTTTTACTTTTGAGATGGCCAACAGGTTGCAAAATCCCCATCATTCCTTCCCTGGTAGCTACAAACCAGGCCTTTCAGTAGCCTTTATAACAAATGCTGTGTGAGTAGTGTCCTTGCAAAACACAGGAAGAGAAGTGAACCACAGAGGCTTCAACTTAATGGATGTGTAAATGAGTATTAATAGTTCAGCTCTGTATGGCAGGGTCTGGTGCAAATTCAAATTGGGTTCATGTCCGATGGATTTAATATGAGGCCTTGCTAGGTTATTTGGAAGAAACAAAATGGATGGCTGCCTTGTAATAAGCATAGGTGTCGAAGTATTAACATACAATGATTAATGCCTTCTTGTTGGTTTTCATTTCTCACTAGGAAAACTTAGCAAGACTCCAGAGGGCCTTTGCAAGAAAGTGGGAATTCATCTTTATGCAAGCAGAAGCACAGGTCAAGTAGGTGAACTTCACAGAGACTCTTGCAGAGCAGAAACGGCTCTGGAATTTGGAGATGGGATGAGGGTGGGATTGTCAAAGTGAGGATTCTAGCTGGCACTAGTGTCTCTAATCAAATGGGTAGTATGTGTAGTACGTAGTATGTGTAAGTTTCATCTTTGGCAGAGTTGCCCCTCTAAAATAATGAAAAGCATGTGTTTCGGCAGTCAAGAGGGATCCTCCTACATGTAGAACTCTGCTCATAGGGAGGTGCACCTATCCGGTCAAGGGGTTTCCAGTTATTCTTCAGAGCTAAGGGATTGGAAAGCGTCAGACCCAGGTTGCCTTTAGGGCTGGAGATTTCATCTTCATCAAAGAATATGTAGAAGTTTTAGGGAGGACAAGGCCCTTTGCCTCTTCTTCTTAATCAGGGAGGAGTTTAGAACCAAGTGAAAAATGAGACACAGAAGCCAGACATTTGGAGTTCATTCACTGAAACCCATGTTATAGGGTATGGCTTGGACCTGTGGCCAAAATCCAAACTAAACTTGTCCTTTGTGGGCAGAGGTGTGTGTCTGTAGGCCTCCTTCCCAGGCCAGAACTGAACTCTGTAAGTGTACTGAATATGGAGAATGGATATCCTGAGGACAGGCTGACCTGGACAGGGACCCTAAAGGACTAGCCTGAGCTTTCTCTATTTCTTCTTTCAAATATACTAATAAGTCATTTTTCCTCCCCAAGTTACAAGCACTAAAAGGAGAGAAAAATTGAAAGGATTTTTTCCTGTGCACATAATGGAAATTTCTTCCTCTCTAAGGAAACACGAGGAATAGGGAAGAAATGTCCCCCAGTCCAAAAACATGGTTGTCAACCAGATCCACTTAACTCTGGGACATTGAATTGCTGTGGTTGCTATCGCCCTCGTTCTTTTCAGTATGTATCTGTTTAGCCAGCAATGTTCATAGGAAAAGTGGGACAGAGGAAGGGTGGGAAAGGGAAGCTGATCTGGGAGTATACAAGTCCCTATTCCCTTGCATGTGAGCAACCCCCGATGGGGCTTCACATGACCCCTTTCCTACTCTGGGTGTCATTGCTTATCATCTAGAGCCAAGTCTCAATCAGTGTGCATGAGGATGAACTGTACCTATGACCCCCATCAGAAATGATCTGAGGTCATCTGGTCCAGTGGTGTGTGTGTGCTGTCGTTACTGCCACCCTCCCGGTACAGTCGCTACCTTTTCCCTACTAATATCAGCCACCTGCTGAGCACCCTGATCGGCCCAGAACTCCCCTAGGGATGTAGGCACCAGGCCCTGGGTGCTGAGATGCAGCAGGAGGCATCAGAGGAAGTAGAAGCTGGGAGGGGGGAGCAGATAGGAAGAGGCTGGGATTTGGATAGACAGGGAGAAAGCTACTTGTGTACTCAGAATCCACTGGGAAGCAAAGAGAAGCACACATTTGTTCTTAAAGAATCAAATAGCATCATATTATAAAGAGAAAGGAAATTGTCACCTTATACTTATATGGTATCTCTCCATTAGCTTTTATGATTAACTCTGTGATTACATTATAATTGTGGGCCATTTAAGTACACAGTAATTATCACAAGAATCACAGGGTGATTATGGGTTTATTTCAGTCCAGTAAACTGAAGTGTTCCCAAGAGAGCTGAGAACCAGAAGTTATATGGCTATTAATCTCAGTTGCTTTTTCCTTAGATAATATGAAGTAATACAGCCTTTAAAAAAAGAAAGAAAGAAAGAACCTCTTATCTGGGCTGCTGATCAGAACATAAAGAATCTGTCTTCATCACCTGTAATTTCCCTCTTGGATCTGTGGGTCCTCCAGCTGAGGTTGATGATGTTTGCCTCCTGGATGGCGACATATGTTAGGGCCATTACTCTGCTTTTAGTAAGCCAGATGGCTTAAGCGACTTTTAAAACACATAGCTGCAGCATTTTAAACATATTTCTACTGAGCCAACTCTGAATGTAAAGCAGACTTTCAAATTTGAGATGGAAGCCTGCAAGCCTGTGGTGACGTTCCTTCTTACCAGTTTGTCTATGCAGTGTTTACTTGGGAGGGGCATGTCAGTGGGCAGCTCTGCTCTCAAGAATCCTGATCTTCCTTCTCCCCAGGGACAGTTTCATTCCTGTTCTTTCCTTTGGCCCACTGGGTCCATTGCACATATATGTCAGTCTGTTTTCTGGCTCACAGCAAGTTCTTCCCAAGTATGCAAAGTCTGAGGCTGCCTGGAGGGAGTAGACACCTGAAGAAAGCAGGGACCACACGGGTGCCAAAAGTCTTGCTTATATATAGTGTGGTGCCTAGAAACGGGAGCAGAGAGCTGGGATGTGGGCCAGAGAGAAAAACAATGCAAAACCTCTTATTTCATGTCTTTTCAGAATTGATCGAAAAAAGGACAAGACAGAAAGGAAAATTTTGGATAGTCAAGAACGGGCCTTTTGGGATGTCCACAGGCCAGTGGTGAGAAAGCTCTGCTTTGTTCTCTGGGGTGTTTTTAGTTATTTTAATTCCCAGTATTCTTCTCTTCAAAGACAAGCCTGTCTTTATGGCCAGGTGTCTTATTTTTAAGAAACCTGTGAGGCTTTGCAAAATTGGTTTTGCCATTTATTCATAGAATCTCAGTAGATTTTCTGGAGTATGTGTCAGTTTCAGCTTTTTAAAAATTATCCACCCATAAAAATATGGAAATGAAATGGGGGAGCAATGGGAATTCCACCTGGGGAACTTCCGGCGCCAGAGCGTCACATTCCCCCGAATTAACACTTCTATTTCCACTCTTGTTCAACTCTAAATCTTAAAATATTCTCTTTTGAATAGTTAGTTCTTGTTATTTCCAGTCGTTGTGTTCTGCAGTCTGGGAACGCTAACTCGGTGAAAGCAGGGACATTGCCGCTGCAGAAAATGTAGGACGAACTGGGTTCCTACGAGTCGCTGTCACAGCATCTTTATTAATTGATCAGTATGGAACTTCTTTCAATGTGTGTTTTTGTGCAAAGACATCTTATTTAATATATACTGTTGATCACTGACATTGAACTCAGCCAACAAAAACCTAACTCAGGCCTCGGAGAAGCTTGTCTAGCACATCTATCTTCTCCTGAGGGCACATCATAGCCTTCTTGCTCCTAAAATACTAGACAGCACTTCAGCACTTTTTGCTTGAGGGCCACTCCAAGCAGCACATCACCAACACACAGGACAAAAAATGCAGAAAACGTATTACTGCCCAAGCCCTACATAAACTAATTTACAGTATGAGGCCTGGAACAAGGACGGACAGTGTCACCGTGTTCAGTCTCAGCTGGGCACATGTACCCGGGCAACCCAAAACTGTTGGCGACTGTGCACATCCGAAAATGGCCATTAAATTGCTGCCGGTATTGGTTTCAAAGTCACAAATAAACTTCAGCAAGTAGGTGGATTCACCAGTAAAAAAAAAAAAACTGTAAATAATCAGGTTTGACTGTATTTTTAATTTCATATTATTAGAAGGAATTTTGTATTTCTCTCATCAAATGGAACTAAAAATGAGCAAAATGTTTCAACCTTTCTAAAAACTAAAAGAAAAGAACAAAACAAAACAAAACATAGCTCCTCAACCTAATACTGCAGTATTTTCAGGTGGTTGGTTAGATAAAATAGCAAAGCCTGTAGCTGAAGCACGTGAATAATACGTTTGCTCTTCGAAACTGTACAGTACACTTTTACACATCATCCTTACAGTCAGGTCAACTGTTATATTTCCTACAAGAACTCCATGGAGGAACCCCTATTGTGACAAAATGAAAAACATTATGCATTATCTGCAGAGAGAAGTATAAAGACTGGTTCTGGTGCTGTTACTTGAGCTACATTGGAAGAGTAATTTACACTTAGTAATTTATATGGTTTTTTTTTTCTCTCTCTCTCAGCCAGGCTGTGTGAACACAACTGAAATGGATATCAGAAAATGTCGACGTTTGAAGAATCCACAAAAGGTTAAGAAGGTTCGCTAGTTTAGCTGACTTAAAAATTCTTGGTGTGAATAGCCTTTCCTTTTCTGGTACTTTTCAGACTGTAATTTGCTATTTGTAATTCTACTATATTTCATCTTTTGAAACCATTTTATTCATAATTCTGGAAATATCATTAAGTGGCTGGTACATGCGAGGTGTTGTGATTGCTCCTGGGACTCGGCGCCAAGTCCTAACAGAGCCCATGGACTGGCACGGGATGAAGCAGCCAACAGGCAACAAGGCCACAGGTGCTGCACTGAGGAAATACAGGATAGTTCCAGAGCCCCACGAGGGACAGCCCAGCCAGATGGGGCTTCCCAGGGGTTTCCTGAGAGCAGATCAAGTAAAAGGAAGGGTAGCTCCAGTTGGCTCTAGGGAGGTGGAAGAGAGAAGAGGAAGCTAAAGGAACAAACACTGGGAGGGCCCCCAGGTGACAATGAGCTTGGTACTTAACAAGCAAATGAGAGACTTTTAGTAGGAGAGCTAGATCGCCTAGACTTAGATCACCATCTAGCCCAGCTGTGAGTGACCCAGTAATCACTTGGGTCTCCTTTACCGAAAGGGTTAGTGCCACAGCGTGCCCATGGGTACCACACTCACACTGCCCTACTACCCCATACCTCCACCCTCACCAGCACACCAAGAACCATACTATGCTATGAGAGAATATGGTTATATTCCATGTTAGTTTCAGAAGGTTAGGAGTGTGTCCCCAGACACCCCTATGTCCTTCAATGACCAATTCTCTGAAAAAGTGAGTATCCTTTATCCAAAATACTTGGGCCTAGAAATGTTTCAGATTTTGGATTTTTTTCAGGTTTTGGAATATTTGTATATAAATAATGAAATATCTTTGAAATGGGACCAGTATGAATGGTCTGAATGTAAAATTTGTTTTGTGTTTCATATATACATAGCCTGAAAGTAATTCTATATAACTTTTTAGTGAGCCTGTGTTTTGACTATTATCTGTCTATGAGGTCAGGTGTGGAATTTTGCATTTGTATGTCATATTGGAGCTCAAAAAGCTTCAGAGTTTGGAGGATTTTAGACTTCAGATCTTCAAATTAGAAATGATGTGTAAACATGTACACATGAGGCTAGGGGAAGAAAGAGACAGAAAGACATTTTTTAAATCCACTTGTGTACTTTGTTCATCACTAATGTAAAATGCCCTTATGCTATACTTTAACTTATTAGTCTTGAATATCCTCATTTAATCCTTATAGACCCCTAAATCTAATAATCAGAATTTGATGGCATCATGTACACCTTGTGCCCACCTTGACTGTATTGATTTTCAGCTACACATTGCATGTCCTTAAGGGCTTTGTTTCCTTCCCAAAGCAAAGACTGTTTTTAGTCTGTTCCTAATAACACTGGGAACAGTTGCAAAAGGAGCCATAGCTAAGTCCAGAAATCTGCTTAACTTAAAAAGGAACTCCTGGAGCCCTGACGTTCCAACTGTCTACCAGGTAGGCCTGTCACCTGCTGACCGGCAGAAACTCTAAGGCGGCTGGATCTTCTTTACAGAATCATTAGCAGTTGTCCTTGAACTTCTTTTGGAAAAGAATCACCTGGGGCATTGGATGAACGTGCAGGATCCCAAACCCATCCGCAGAGTTTCTGATTCTGTGGGCCCAGGGCAGGGCACAGCAAGGCATTTCACCAAGGGCCCTAGGGTGATTCCTGCAGATGGTCTCTTCACTATATTTGGAGAAGCAATGATGTACAAGGAGACAATTTCCTCTTAATGAAAGGAAAGATTTTCTTCTAACAGATATAACCTCAACATGGGATGAGATGCCTCAGTGGCCACAGTGTCACCATTTGTAATAGCTAAATCTTGGAAATAGCCCACTTGTCCATCAACAGATGAATGGATAAAAGAAATGTGGTATTTATACATAATGGAGCACTACTCTTCCATAAAGAAGGATAAACTTGAGTCATTTGTAGGAAAATGGGTGCCCCTTGAGTTCATAATACTAACAAATCAGATACACAAGTTTAAATAGTGCATGGCTTCTTTTATATGAGAAACCCAAATTATAAAAAAAAGAAAAGAAAAGACAGATTATAGGAAGTAGGACGGTGGATGGAGGGAAAAGGGATGAAAAAGGCTTTAAGACACGCTGTGTACATGCACGAATTCCACGCAAGGATTGTAAACTTTATGTGCTGCAAGTGTACATGAGGACCAAAGTGTATAATAGGTACTGTGAAATAGGAAGCAAAGGTTCAGGGGTGGGGGGAAGGAAAGAAGGGAAAGAAAAAATATGAGAAAGAAAGGAAAAAACTGAAACAAAGCTTTTTTAAACATGGGGGGTGGAGAGGTAAGAGGGAGGGAAGAGGAATGGGGAAAAACAAAAACTAAGATCTGTCAGGTACAGACACAAATTCTCAATGATGAATGCGATTATAATGTATACCTAAAATGTACCAATAAAGTCCACTTTCTTTAAAACACAGGCTCTGCCTTTAAAAGAAAAAACGTTCAAGGCCAATCACTCATTTCCAGGATGTCGTGGATGAGGCCCTCTCCGTCCTCCCTCCACCCTGAGGGTTCGTAGCTTATGTGTGCTCTTGCTTCTTCTTCTAGTCAGTGTATGGTGTAACTGAGGAGTCCCAGTCGCAGAGCCCTGTGCACATACCCAGCCAGCCTATCAGGAAAACTACAAAAGAGGACATCCGGAAACAGGTGAGCTTCCTTTCCAGATGAGCCGGTTTAAAGGCCCTTTAATGTGCACCTCTGAAGGTTGAGTGAGCTTTGAGTTCACTCAGCTGTGGGCAATTTAAACCTTTGAACCCTGTGTGTGAATAACCCGTGAAAGTTTGAGAGGAGGACTTCTTCACCAGCAGTTATGAAGAAGGCTATACATGAGCTGTGGGAGCTGGAGAGGGTGGAGCACATGTCCCATTCAATCTGTAGCACACCTCACCGGCTCCACCCCACCCAACCTTCTGCTGTGACCCCAAAGGAAAGCTAAGAGCCAGGACTGTGGTGTATCCCTGTAATCCTAGTACCAGTACTGGGAGGCCAAGGCAAGAGCATCAAGACCAAGGCCAGCCTGCACTACATAGTGAGGCCTTTTCTCAAAAACAAACAAATAACAAAAAAAAAGGAAGCTTAAGAATAAAAAAATTTCTTGGGCTGGGGATTTTGCCCGTCACCTGCCTTGCAAGTGCAAGGGCCCGAGTTCGATCCCGGTACCCAAAAAAAAAGGAATAAAAAAATCCCCAACCCAGTGCCACTTCAGCATGTGCGGTGGAATGTTATTTTCCTCCACACTGAGGAGCTCAACAAAGACTAATTACAGTGCTGCTTCTGCTATTGATTAGCACTGGGGCAATGAATGTTAAGACCAACCCTTCACGTTGTGCTCTACTGGCCTCTGACAAGTGTGGAGGGGACAAAGGAGGAAGCTTTTAGATGCCTTCCCTTGACAAGTTTACTACTAGAAGTGGCAGAGACAGATATGTGAAATAGCTATTTGATGATTCAAGTCAAACGTGCCAAGTGTTTGATATACTTCAGAAAGGTGGGCGGAGGAATGGTCATGGGGCTTTCGTCAAATGGATTTTATGGAGCATGCATTAACTGTCCATGCTGTTGCTAAGCTTTGTAGAATAAATTATATACTCCCTTCCAGTTTTGGGAATGACTTTTGGGAATAGAGACTTAAATTATAACAAAGTACAGGCAAATATAACAGGTAGCATAGGCTACACTGCAGAGTATGAATCGGAAGTGTGGTTGAAATTTTTGAAAAGGCAAAGTGGTTGCTAGGGTACAAATCCTGAGGGTAGGAGAAGTCTTCCCACAGGCAGTTTTGTGATTTGGGTTGGAATATAGGATTTGGGCTCCTAGGCTGAAGGGGAAAAAATAGTTCTCTTCTATTCTCAACATCCTTGTTCTCTCTTTCCCCAGATAACATTTTTGAATGCACAGATAGACAGACATTGTTTAAAAATGTCCAAAGTGGCTGAAAGGTATGTTTTCCCCTTAATAATATTGCTTTCTTCTTATTTTACAAGGGAAAGGGAATGGGACCGGGTTAGGGTTAACAAATGTGTTCAACTTTAAGAGTTAGTGTAGCTACTCATTGAATTGATGTATAAAAACACCGCAGGTTTTGTGTGTGTGTAGCTAAGATAACAGGCCTCCCTTGAGTGATGTCAAGAAATGTCCTATTGCTAAAGCTTCTCAGGGGGTGGCCACAAGACCCCGTCAGTCAGGGAAGAATGTCCTTAAAAGCTCCATCATGCACCTTTGCCTTCAGCCTCTTGATTAATTCAAATGGAATCACTCCCTTTTCAGCTATAAAATGCCCAGATTCACTTTATGGGGAAAAGAAATTATGTATGCCCTTTGAGGTACCGGCCACGTAAACAGGAGGGGACTGGATCCTCAGGAGGTGCTCAGCCTCCACACACCATCAACCACTGAACTGCATCAAAATCAACTGTAAAGAAAATACTTAGCCCCTCCAGCCTGGCTTCCACAAGAGCATGTACACTACAATCTGTACCAATAGCTGGTTCTATTCGGTTAGCTCGTGGAGATTCAATTTTATCAACTAAGTGGTCCGGTTTTGAATTCTGCAGTGAAGACAGGAGACCACCTGGGGAATCTGTGTGGAATAAATCTAATCAGGCAGCCCTAAACTGAACATTTGTTCATCCATATGTTGCTGTTAAAGCAGTGACCAATTTCTGAAGAAGTCAGGGCTTCACTTGGGTCTTAATATTTATTCAACATCAGACACACTGAGTCCTCTAAGCCCAGCTGGAACAGGAGGGTGGCTGGCTGTGTGAGCCACCTGTAAGCCTTTCTCTGCTGGTTCTGAGGTTCCACATCTTCTTTCTAGAAGATAATGACAAACAGAAGCTAAGAAAAGTCCAACTCCCAATCAAAGGCCTGAATTAACACTATGTCTTCTGGGAGCCCAAGGATATCTGTGGATTTGGACTCAGGTCTTTAGTGGCATCTGCTATCTCTTCCAGGCTTTCTTGATGTGCAACCCTTGACATTCTGGGCCAGACGATTGCTAGTTGTGTTTGTAATGCCTGGAGCATTATGGTGTATTTGATAGCATCGCTGATGTCTACCCAGTAGAGGCCAGGAGTCCCTTAACTCACTGTTGTGATAACCAAAAATGTCTTCAGACTTTGCCAAATATTCTGGGACAGAGTTGGGAGGGGAGAGTGACAAATTCACATCCACTTAGAATCACTGGTACAGTCATACTTTGGTACTGGATTCCTTTGATACTTGTCAAATTTGATACTTAATACTTTTGACACAAAAATTTTGTCCTGGTACTTGTTGCTTGTTTGGTACTAAATGTGTAAGCTACAGCTGGTCAGTGGATTGCCTCATGAGTTGCTACCTTTTCTGCCCAAAGCAATTTGTGTGGTCATTTTTGTACTCATCATACCTCCTCGAACCAATTAATGACATTGAGCACCAAGGTAGCACTGCACTCCTATTCTCCCTAATGCAAATGCTTCTGAAGGTTGCTGATGGCTGGAGCTGCCTTATTCTTAAACACCAGTTCCTCTGGAATGGCTGTTATAGCTGACTCTGTAAGCTGCAGAGTCACATCACACCTCCATTATCACGATGCTGCACTCTGGCAAGAGCATCAGGTTCTGAGATGCTTTTTAGATCTCACTGTGGCTCCTTTGCCCCAGAGGCATGGCTGAGAGGGAATCAGCTGGGATGTTCAGCTGTACCAGTGCCACAACCCGTGAGGAACTACAAACTGCTTTGTGAAGCAGGGACAGGAACAGCCAACCTGGCACATTATGGGATCAGTGTGCTAGCAGTGTTGATGCCTGGCCTCACAAGTGCTTGGTAGAGTGATTGTAGGAGCTAACATACAGGGGGCATCTCTGCTGGGGTCAAGTTGCCAAGGTCTACTGGTCTGAGCACCATCGTCTTACACGATAGAAATCCCCAAGCCTCAGCCCTAGGGATTTAGAGTCCATGGTTCCAGGCTAGATTCAAGAAGACTAAACTGTGGACCATCTTCAGCTGGCTTGATCTGATCCCTGAGTGACACAGATCCTCCTGCGCTGAGAACTCACCCCGAAAGAGAAGTGGCCATTGTCTTTTAGGGTGTGAGCTCTGGACCAGTCTGCAGGAGGAGGGAAGCACAGCAGGTGTGCAGAGGCCAGAAAAGGGGAGAGCCCAGGTGGGAGGAGGGGGTGGGCTTGGCACTGCCTATTGTTTGTTTATTTGTTTTCTGCTGGCGGGGAGGAGTCCCACCTGGCACTTCTAATTATGCTGCTCACACTGGGGATTATTCCAACCACAGCTCCTCACTCCCCAGCTAGAAGCTTCCAGGAGTCTGACCCCTGCAGAGACATTCCCAGCAGCAGCAACTGGCAACTTTTCAATGTGACAGGAGGGTTTTTCATTAGCGCCCCAAGGAAACTCCCAGAAAGGGAGGAGTGGGGAGAGGAGCCCTGGTGTTAGCAGGAGATAAATCTGCAAGGAGCCCGGTCTGTCAGCCGCTCTGCTCTGCAGAGGTGGGGGTGCCGGGGAGGTAGCGCTGGCAGCTGGCCAGAGGTGAAAGCTGAGCTCTCTCAGGTGGGCTGCACAGCCCCATCCAGATCCAGTTTCCCTGAGCCTGCTTCAGGTGATAAGTGGTAATTAGTCAGAACCGCATCCCCCTGAGAAAAGGTCCCCATCATTTTTCACTTGGTTCCCGGAAACGGGCATGGGGGAGGGAGTCTAGTGATAGTGTGGATCCAGTTCTGAAAAGGCAGGAATCAAAATGGGACAAAGAGTGCAGCCAGACCCGGCAGGAGGGAGTAAGGCAGCTCTGCAAACGACAGAGGAGGAAGAGCCGTTGTAGGGGATGGTCTGGAGCCAGCTGGTTAGGTTTGAATCCTGCCTGTGCCATCTCCTGGCTTCTAGCTGATAAAGCAAGTAGTTTATCTCTCTGCATCATGAGTCTACCTCTAAACGGGAGGCAGTAGTGGTGCTTAACTTGCAGTGTTAGTGAGTTGGCAATAGCAAGTGCTTGGTCCAGTGTGTGGCACTCAGTACCCACATTGAATGGCAAGGATTCTTTTCCAGCCTGGTGATTAACAGTGCTTTGCAAAGGAAAAGAATTCAAAGGCATAAGACAGAATGCACTTGCATATACTGCCCAGAGCCATGCAAGGCAGGCCAAGGAGGGAGGCTGGCCCTGAAGATGGCAGTTTGGGGCTAATGAGATTTTTTTCTACCCACCCTTTCTCTCTTCTGAGCCCTGAAGGCTGCCAGAGGTTGGTACAACCTCAGATCTGTGTGGCTCCCCTCTTGCCTTGCACACACTGCTAGTCTGCTTTCCTTGGGTAAGGAAGGGTTGCTCATGAGGAGATAGCTTTTCGGCATAGATTTTCTCAGGTCATCCTAGTTTAAATAGTCTGTCCATTGTCCCCATAAATGTCTAAATGCCCCTGAAATGCCAGCACTGTGAAACACACTGCATTTCTTAGGCTGCCTTTTGTACCTGGAATCAGCACAAAAACTTGCTACCCAGTTTTTGTTTCAGAACATGTAGTTTCTGCACACACTAATGCAATTTCCTGATAAATGCCACTGAACACCTTAAGCATTTTATGGAAATCTTCCCCAAATATGGTTTATATATTTGTCTTCCTGAAGAAAGGACAGTACATTTCAGGCAATTATTCTGGATGAGTTGGATCAGTGTTGTTGTTTTTGTGGTTTTTTTGTTTGTTTGTTTGTTTTTTGTTTTTTGAGGCAGGGTCTCACTATGTAGTTGAGGCTGACCTGGAACTCACTATGTAGCCCAGGCTGGTCTTGAACTCACAGCAATCCTCCTGCCTCAGCCTCCTGAGTGCTGGGATTACAGGTGTGCGCCACCACGCCCAGCTGGATCAGTGTTCTTATATTGTGCTTTAAAATTCTGTCAGTTACCAGGAACTTGAGAGGTGACACAAACTGCCTTCCTTTCCCTAAATGGTTCCAGACTGTTATGTTCTCTGATTCAGGTATTTCATTGTTGATTTGTTTTCTTGTTTGAATCAACTCATTTGTCTCTGGCAGCCCTTCCTCTTCGCTAACCAGCATCCCTTTCCAATCTGTAGCAGACAAGGTGTGTCAGTTAGCTATGATTGACTAACAATGCACCCCAAAACTCACTGCTTAAAACTACAGTGGTCTCCACATTGGTTGTAAGAATGTATGCCAAGACCCCCAATGAACTGAAACTACAAACTGTACTGAATGTTATGTATACTATTTTTCCTTCACATATGTAACTATAAGAAAGTTTAATTTACAAATTAACCACAGTAAGAGATTAACAATAACTGATGACAAAATGAACTATAACAAATACATTGATATAAAAGTTATATGGATGTAGTCTCTAAATATCTCCTCATACTTTGTGGGAGAAGTTCAAGCCTGGCTGGGCCAGGTTCGCCACACTCCTCTCTCCTGAGCTAACTCGGAGACCTTGCTAAGGCTGAGCTAGCTCACCTAGGGTTGAAGAAGCTGGATCCAACAGGCTATACCTCTGTCCCTAGTCAATGACTCCTTCGCCTCACCCAAGAAAAATCACTCTAGTGTGCCTCCAATAAGATATGGCCAAATGTTAAATGCTCCTCGCACGCTCCTCCCATGCTCCTCCCCCATGTTGTCCCTATATAAGCCTGCATTTCCTGAATAAAGCGGAAGTGTTCCAGAAACCTCCCGGAGTCTGCCTGGTGATTCCGTGCCTCACCCTCCCAGTCCAAGCTCCTTGTTCCATGAGCAGGCTCATGGAGGACAACAATACTTTCACCTTTTTACTCAAAAGAAGTACTTAAAGGCCTCCCTTTGGCATACTTGAATTATCCGTATCACCAAATCTGTACTTGGGGCCATTATTAAGTAAAATAAGAGTGACTTGAATACAAGAACTGTGACACCATAATAGCCCATCTGATAACATTGATGGTTGTGTTATGGTATAGATCAAAAATGT